AAAAAAAAAAAAAAAAAAAAAAAAAGAAAGAGAAGAAAAGAAAAGTAGTTTTATTTTTCAAAATATTACAATTTATCTTTACTCTGACACCTAAACCATAACTAACCACCCACATTACTAATAACATCCTCAATGAAACTCTTCTGAGCCTCATAAGCAGACCCACTTTTCTCCATAGCTTCCCTACTCTTCATCTTCATCTCCTTCACCTTCTCTCTAACCACCCCTCCACCGCCCATCAGCCGCCTCACCGCCGCCTCTATCTCCGGCGCCGCCACAATCTCCGGCAGCCTCTCCCCCCTAAAATCCGTCGAGTAATCTATCCTCACAGCCTCCGCCAATCCCAGCTCCCTCACGAGCAAAAACGCGTTCACCTGCTGCTCCGCGTACTGCGGGAAAGCGGCCACCGGAACCCCATACCACAAGCTCTCAAGCACCGAATTCCACCCGCAGTGCGAAATGAAACCCCCCACCGCCAGGTGGCCGAGCACCGCCACTTGCGGGGCCCACCCGATCACTTTTCCGATCTTCTCCGTCCGCTCCAAGAACCCTTCTGGCAGAACCTCCCGGAAGTCGGTATACTCGGTCGGCACAGGCGGGGTGTTGATTTCCGGGCCAGGCTTCCTCAACGACCATAAAAACCGGGCTCCGCTCGCTTCCAAACCGGCGGCAATCTCCGCCGCCTGTTCCCGCCGGAAACCGCCCATCGTCCCGAAGCAGAGGAAGACAACAGACTTTTCCGGTTGCCTGTCGAGCCACTCGACGACTTCCCGGCCCTCCGGCGAGCCGGCGGGATTTAGTATCGGGCCAACCGGATAGACCTTTGGAAGTCCGGAATCGGATTGCAAGGCCCGGATGGCGAATGGCTCGAGCTCGAGGAATGTGTTGACCATGACTCCTTTGGAATCGGAGACTCGCCGGAAAAAGGTGAGGAATGTGGCGGAGAGCGGGTCCGGCTGGAGGAAGGCGGCCGGGAGGATTTTTGCCGGGACGGGACAGGAAAAGCAGGAGATGGGTAGCTCGAGGCTCGAATCCTTGAACTGCGTGAGGTCGATTTTTTGGTCGAATTTTAGTCCGGCGAGGTGGGTGAAGACGCCGAGGGCACACGCGCCGGAGGTGAAGAAGACGTAGGACGGGAGGCCGAGCTCGGAAGCTATGTCAATGAAGTTGGTGCAGAACATGTCGACGATTAGGCCGGCGGGTCGGGAGTTTGGAGTCGGAGGGTTTGAGATCTGGCCGGAGAGAAACTCCCGGACGCCGGCGGCGTGGCTTTCGATGAAGTGGAAGAAGCCGGAATCAGGGGAAGGGGGCCGGTCGGGGGATGGGAGGTTGGTGAAGCGGAGGCCGGCGGTGGGGCCGGCGGAGGAGAGGTAAGTGGCGGTGGGTTGGTCGGTGGTGGAGGTCGTGATGATGAGGACGGTGATGGAGAGGCGGCGATCGCGGGCGAGGAGGAGCTTGGCGGCTTCGACGGTGGAGACGAGGTGGCTCAGTCCGGGAACGGGGATGAACACTAACTCGAAAATCGTCATAGTTTAGTTTTTTTAATTTGATATGAATGATGGGGTGTTAGGAGACGGAGATGGAGATAAAGGGGCGACTGAAAAGCATATCTAAGGACACGTGTTACATTGTATAGAAGGGAGAAAGAAAGTCAATATATTAAAGTTTCTTTTTTAAAAAAAAATAAAAATTTATTGGTTAAAGTTAATTATAATAATATTTGAGATGTGTACAATTTTAATTAAATTACTTGGAGGAGATAGAGAATTTAAATAAATAATATAATATATTATAATAGAAGTTGGTCAGAAATACTTTGATAATTAGAAAGACTTGAGATATTTTTAATGCCACATAAAACTTTTTAGCGTCATGTGGCAACGAAATAGAACAATCAACATACTAAGAGTGATTGTTTATAGATTTATCTAGTTTTTATTTAATTTTTTTTAAATATAATTAATTTTAAAAAAATATGGTATGATTAGTTGTTAGTGGATATATTAAATAATATTTAAATAAAATAATTAAAATTGATTTGATGTAAAGTAAAAGAAAAATGAATGAAAGTGATGGTTAGTTAAAATTATGTGAGTGGATAAATAGTGAATTAAAGTTGATGTGATGTGTAAGAATGATTGTTTGATATTATTTAATTATATTGATAATATTGGAGATAGTGGAGTTGGGTTAAAGTTGAGTTAAATTTGAATTTTGATTAGTTTTTTTTGCTGTTCAAACCATATCCAATTGCCCCCTACGGCTATGTTTGGTAGACCAATAAGCTAGCTTATAACTTATTTGGTTAGATTATAAGCTCCCTGTATTTAAATAAGTTTAGTTTGGTAGGACGAGATTTCTCAAAAAGCTTGATCTTATTTCATAAGCTTCTTTAGGTAGCTTTTCAAATAAGCCCGTTGAAATTTTTATTTCAGTTAGCTTATCAGCAAAGTTTACCAAACGTTTTTATCATATTAGCTAGCTTTTCAGCTATAAGTCATAAGCTATAAGTTATAAGCTCGAAAATTACTGATACGCTATACGCTAGCTTATCAGCTAGTTTTACCAAATATAGTCGTAATCTTTTTTTTTTCTTCAAACATCTAATTTTACTAAAACATAAACTCGAATGTACAACCCGAACAACCAAAGGGTTACACTGACCCCAGTCACACACCAGTCTTAGACAAGAAACAAGCAAGAGGCCACTCTCACAGGTGCCCCTAGGAGACCATCTCGGTCATAACAATACAAACCAATCCAAATACAGAAACAAAGACTGCAAACATGAACAACAATTAACTACATGGCAAAAATGAAACACTAACATACATATCAGGATGCAAAACCATTTTATTAAAACACCATTCCTATTCTTGCGTGTAGCTCCGATCTGCCAGTTTTGAGCCTCTTTTAGCAGTCGTCCGGCATCGCCGGTGGATGGCTCTCCCGCTGCGCCTCCAATTTTGGTCTGAGATGCTCGGATTCGGTGACTCAAGCCAAAAGGGCGAGCTAGGGTTTTCTCGCCGCTCTGCGAGATGGCCGCCGGCTGTCCTGAGGGGTGGGTTTCAGTTGGCGCGTCGACAGTCCTTGGAGGTGGCTCGACTGCTCATCTCAACTCTAGCAGGGGCGATTTTTCTTTCTCCTGGCCGGGTCTGGTGGTCGCAGGTCTTGTTTCCCCTGCTCTCGCCGGTCTCGCTGTTCTAGCCAGTCTCGGAGCTGTGAGGAAGTTGGGGCGGGGTCCTGACCTCGTGTGCCGGGTCGGGGGGAGATTGTTGCTTAGTCGGGTTGTGTTCGAGCGGCGGGGCTTGGATGCCATTCGAACCCTTCCTCCCTATTGCTCTTTTTGAGTCGATGGGAGGCCGACCGTTTCCGGAATTGGTTAGTGGTGTTAGGCAGTTTCGGGATGGTGACGGACTTGGCTAGTGGTGTTAGCCGGTTGGGGGTCGATTGTGGTTTCTAGTGGTTGGAGAGCGGGTCGATTTTATTGGACTGTTTTGAGGCTCGGGTCTTCGTCTTGCTAGGCATTGGCAGTGGCGGGTGGAGTTCCTGTGCTTTGGATCTTTCCCTGTAGTCGGCCTTGTCTGCTGTTCAATCTCGGTCATATCTGCTGAAGGAGGGTTGTGTTTCAGTTCATAGTTGTTTTGTTTATTTTGTCGTTATTGTTTTGTGATGTTTGTGTCTGTATTCATGTATGTTTTTTGTGTTTCAGGTTTGGGCCGTTGGCCCCTGTACGCCCGGGTGTCACCTTATTACCCCGTTGGGGGCCGACACTCGAGGATTACCCTGTTGGGGCCTTTGTATTGTTTGTTGTGTTTTGTAGTGTTGTTATTACCCCTTTGGGGTCGTGGTCGAGTAGTTGATCTGTTTAGGGCGAGTTTTTATTCTAGCGTTGCTAGCGGGACTCTAGGCGGTCTTCTGACCTGTCCTCCCACTTTTTCAATTGTTGACTGCTGTATATTCAGTCGTTGACTGCTGTGTATTCGCACATTTGTGCATTTTGATTTATAATATAATCTATCGTTTTGGAAAAAAAAAACATACATATCAGGTAAGGAAAAAATGTCCGCAGCTACCACAAACACATCCGAGTTAAAACCTTGTTTCAGCAGTAGCAATCTAAGCAGGTTCTTGTCTCTGATGAAGACTTGAACTCTTTCCCATCCCAATCTGCATCTATTTTCCAGCCAATCCCTAATGTCCAGCAGCACATCCTCCACTAGAAGAACCATCCCTAGGGCAGCACAAGCTATGGACTTCAGGCTCTTGTTTAGCTGCTCTTTCCTGTACTCTGTTAGTCTGGACCCCTAAAACAATAGCACTGGCTACATTGCCATGTAGCCCTACTCTCTGCCTCCCACCAAATGACTGGGTCTTTCTCCCTAATAACCTTCTTTCCAACCTGCTTCTGATTCTCTTGAACTTCAGCAACCTCCATCCACTCCATTTTTGCTCCTTCCACCACCTTTGTCTCTGAGTTGATCTCCTTGTTAAACACCAAGCTATTTCTTGTTTTCCACATTCGCCATAGAGTATGTGGATAGTGAAATTCTGTATTTGTTTTGATCACTTTCAGGCATTGTACACACCTCCTGCCACCACTCCTGGAAATTTGCCTCCTTTCTCTGAATGTTATTCCAGGTTATGCCAACAATTTCCAAATTCTTTTGGCTCTATCACAAGTGAACATTAAGTGATCCAAGTGTTGGGATCTGTGAGGATCTCGTTATGTACAAATCACGAATTCAATAGCAAACGTAAACCTATGCGCAGCGGATCTAAAGGTTTGACGTAGAGAACTTACGGCTTAAAATTTATGTAGATCTGGTTGACCACGAACGGTTGACCGCAATTGATTGACCGCAACACGCGTCTTGGGTTGCACGAACAAGATCAGATCAAAACTGGATCAAACGGATGCAAACAGATCAAAACGAAATTTTGCTGCCAGACACCTTCCGGCGGCGTGTGAGGGCGCATGCGGCGTCGGATTCCGGCGACGTCGGCGGCGATGGAAAGCTCTCGTCGAGACGGTCGTCTGGGTATACTGTACGTCTCAATCGGACTTCCGGTTAGTTCTGTAGGTCAAAATCAATTTCGTCTCGGTTTACCTACAGATCTTCTACTGTATTACTCAATACATCCTTCTTCAACTTGTACCAGTGGAGCAACAAGAAGAAGATAAAGCTCGAATGAGATCTAGAGAGAGAGATGGTTTCACGTGAGAATGAGACTTCTATTCTCTTCTCATGAGCTTAATGATGTATATATAGAGCTACAGTAGGGACCCTAAGGAGATTAGGAAAAGGGCTCCTTAATTAATTAGACTAACTGTGGGCCAAACCCACTCCTCTAATTAATTAAATAATATTAATGGGCCACCAACATTATATTATTGCACTCCCTTTCCCTAGCCCAAATTACATTTGAGACTCCAATAATAATTACTCGATTTACCTCCCCACGTTTAAGATATAATGTCCATTAATTAATTCGATTACTGACAATCAAGAATTAATTAATTTATTATTATTTCACCGAAGCTAGCGCTCGTTCATCACATTCTTATTATGCCGGAATTTAATCCACCTGCAGGGTTTAGCATAACAATCCTTCATGAACTCACTCCGGGGACATCATCAAACTAACGCACATGGTGACCGTAAATATCCTAACAGCACATCCTATATATAATAATATTACCCAAAACAGTAGGAATATTAATCCAGCGAACTGAACCTCACCCATGTGAATCAAAGTAATATATATTATATATATCTGCCTGTTTAATATCTTACGGGTTAAGAGAACGCAGTAATTAACCGAGGCCTAGTTCATTTACGACGATCAGTATAAAATGAACTTCTCCTCTCTGGGATCCTGTTCAATACATAAATGTACTAGTGCAACTAATCAGTCAAGACAAACTGTACAGTTGACACTACAACCGTTCGGATGGGGTGTTCATGTCCATCTAGGTTGTGAACAACTATTCTTGTTCGCAAGTGACTGATAGAGTGATCTTCGGTTCGCCCGATGACGACCCACCCTATCTAAGTGCAGAACAACAGAACGTAGAACTTGTTTAATCTAACATGATTCTCATTCATAAAGGGTAAATGTGTAATAACATGCAAAGCCAAGCTTTCAGTATATAACACTAACAATCTCCCACTTATACTTAAAGCTTTCGCTTTTACAGTATAGTCCTATCAATCCGTTATTCTAAAAGACCTATGTCGATCCTATCGCCATGCATCCTCTGATGCAATCTTGGCAACATCAACGTCTCCTCTACCAACGATATCCCGAATCAGATGGTATTTGCGCTCTATGTGTTTGCTTGCCCTGTGGGCTCGAGGTTCTTTTGAGTTCGCTACTGCTCCACTGTTATCACAGTACACGGTGATACCACGTGGCAAACTCGGTATAACCTCTAAGTCCACTAAGAAGTTCCTGAGCCAAACTGCCTCTTTCGCTGCCTCTGAGGCTGCTATGTACTCGGCTTCCATGGTGGAGTCTGCCACGC